GGTTTTCTATGGGTTGAAATGGAAAGGATCCATAAGAAACTGATGATGAGGTCACACTCTTTTGGGGAGTCTGAGGATACTTCTATCCCTAACCCTGTTTCCCAAAGCTGGTTTCCTTGGAATTTAGCCTTTCACACCAATTTTGCATTTCTCTCTCAGCTATATACCCAGACCACATTTGTGACAGGATAGCTCAGCTTTCTGTCTGAACTCTGTTATTGCTTTTTAGGCATGAGGCTGATGTTGCCTTTGTTCACAAGCTCAATGCTTCCTAGGAGGGTTGGCTCTGCCCTTTGGGGCATCTCATAGCAGAGGTCCCTGCATTGGAGTCTCAGTGAGCCAGAGGAAAAGTCTCTTGGCTTTAGAGGCCCCATACTTGGGAAGTCATTAAGGAACTTTATGAAGCTGCTTTCTATTGTTTCATCATGCTTTTACTACTCCTAATTTATTCTCTGTGTCAGTTGAACGGTATCTTTTGATGGGGTTTGAGATACATAACAACAGATAAAGTAAAAGAAGAAGAGATCAAGGTCAGAGCTTGGTGAAGAAAGAAGAGTGGGAAAAAACAGCCTTATTTGTAGATTACTTGTATTGATTAGAGTCTTCCTTTTATGTGGAACAAATGTACCATACTAAACTGGCTCAAGTAGCAGTTAGGTGGCTCAGTGGTCAGAGTGCCAGGTTGTCATTGTCATCATCGTCTGTCCATTGTTCTGAAAAAGGACCATGACATCAGGGAGGTGATGCCGTTACATGCAAGTGGATTGGTTTTAAGTGAGGGAGGGCTCTGTAAAGTCACTAGCCAGTGACCAGTCATCTGGGTCTAGTGGCGAGATAAAGATCAGAATAACTGGAGATAGACCTCTAGAGTGCCAGGCCCAGAGTCAGGAAGACCTGAGTTCAAATCCGGCCTCGGATACTTCCTAGCTATGTTACTCTAGGCAGTCTCTCAACCCTGTCTGCCTCAGTTTCCTATGGATAAAATGAGCTGGAGAAGGAAATGGCAAACAACTCCAGTGTCTTTGTCAAGAAAACACCAAATGGGGTGTTGGAGAGTTGGACAGGACTGAAATGACTGCGCAACAATAAACTGGCTCATATTCTCAGGTTAACTATGCATATCTTGTTCTTGACTCAATTACAGTTGCATGAACAAAAGGAACAGTTCCTCTTTGCTCTTATTAAAGGCTTATCTACTGATATGTGGCAAAAGGGTTTTTTGATTTGTATTTCTTGATGTTGATAGTGCAAACTCATTTCCAACCAAGCCGGGGGAGGTTTTCCTGAATGATAAGCCTTCACTGATAGTTGTGCTGTGTGCTGCATATTCAGAAGGAGAGGTGAGTACTGATTGGCTGAGAGATCTCAGCGGATGCTGGGCATGCCTGCAGAGGGGGCTGACACTTTGGAAGAGGAATTTTGAGAGAAGCAGCCAAGAAAAGCAAGCAAAGACTTCTGAGTGATGGACAAGAAATATCCCTGGAACTACAGAAATGTGGAAAGCTGACTCTCCAACATGTCTTTTGAATTCTAGTACTTTGCAGCCCCTAAAGACTTACGTATGGAGTTTTTCCCACTCCCCACCAAGACAGTTTTCTCCTCAGTTGAGCTGTGTTTTTATCTTGCTCTCCAGCTTACCTACCCTAATCTGTGTGAATCCCATGATTTCAGTTTACTGTTTACTTTGATAAAGTGGTTTTTTTTACCTATTTGTGATAGTCTTTTGTGCAACCAGCATTTGAGGCATGGCAAACTAATTACTGTCCTCTCCTTGAGACTCATCATGATAAGAGACATTTGTCCATGGTCTCAAAGTGTTATAATCTCAGACGGCAAATATCTGATGTGTAATATACTTCTAGTCCAATGCCTCTTGAAGATAGAAGAGCATTATACTTTTCCTTCTCTCTACATCTGGGCCCTGCAGTCTTTTCTGTCAGATTCCAGACTACAGGCCATTCACCTACAGTTGGTAGAAAACATTGGGTACCAGCCAATGTCCCCTGGATGCAGCCTGCACTTGATTCCAGTCAACTTCCTTTTTGGGACCCCCTCAAGGAAAGGACAGCTCTATGCCCTTTGCCAGCAGGAAGTAGTTTCAGAAGCCAAGACCTTTGCCCTTATCCCAAAAAAATTTGGGTTCTATTTGTTTGGTGGGAGGGGGATGATGGTGATGGGATCTGAACCCCTAAAAGGAAAAGACCATGTCTTTGGGATCTGGACCCAACAAAAAGAAAATCCCTTGGCTTTTCCCAAATCTCTAGCATTTACTTGAGGCTGTAATCTATTCACAGAAACTGGCCTTTCATTGTGGCTGTGCGGCTATCTCCCAGTTCTATTCCGTTACCTCCTGACTGACCCTGGCCACTTCCCACCCTTAATCCTACCTAGACTCCATTCTCTGTTCGCCATGTGGTCCAGATCCCGGGTGTTCTGTTCACTCCAGCTTACTGGCCACTCCCTTCCAGCTCCTCTTTAGACATCCCCTCCAGTCACTCCAGACTACTTGGCCACTCCTGGAATCCTCCCAAAGTCTTTCTCTATATGAGATTCATCTTGTCTCCATTGTTAGAAATAGGCTTAACACCAAAAATTTAGTCATCAAGAAAATTTATTACAAAGAAAGTCCAGAGAATTTAGATGTTTCTGTCCAGAAGCAGGTTCCACCCCTCTTCAGGAGGGGTGGGCCCTGAGTGCAAGGGAAAGTGTGCTTTTATGCAGTTGAATTCAGCGAGAAACCTCCCAGGCCTGGATTGGTCCATCCCTTCCCAGGTCATACCTTTCCTTACATGTTTCCCCTTGATATGCTCAAGTATGTTCCCCCTCCCTTGGTCATACGTCCCATGACTCCTTAATGAGGCTCTAATTTTATGTGGGGTGTGTCAGATAATAGTAATGAAGTTTGTTAAGCAGGCACACTAACATTTTTCAGGTGTCCTCAGGTTGACCCTAACTGGTCTGAGCTGGCTTGACCCTTATCTTGATTTTGGGGTCTTTATGGAACCATCAGCTTACTTTTTATTGGCTAAGCCCAAGCCCACCTACAGTGTACAACTTCCTGGAGCTGTTGTTCTTTAAAATCTCTGCATTATTCTACCTTTGGAAACATAAGCCCTTCTAACTCTAACACCATTAAGGTGCTCAGATTCTTAAGATCTGGCCCCCTTGCATTAACGACACAAATGCTTAGATTCCTTAAGAGTCCGGTCAATATGGCAGATGTTCTAATAAACTGTCTTTGGCTGGGGAAAAAAAAAAAAGAAGAGCAAAGGAGCAAATACTCAGCCAGGGCCCTCCTCTTCCTCCCCACAAAGGGGAAATGGCCCTCTCCCCTTGGACATAGGTGGGATAGATCCCAGATCAGATACTTATCCATGTCCTATGGGAGCCAGACGTATCTTTTTATTACACAGCCCAACCATATATCTCCTAGAATACTTGATATTAAACTACTCTTGCATACCTCATACACATTTTTTTGATCATTATGAATAATACAAAATATATTTTTGTTCAGTTGTGTCCAATTCTTTGTGACCCCATTTGGGGTTTGCTTTGGCAGATACTGGAGTAGTTTGCATAGCCTTCTCCAGCTCATTTTACAGATGAGGAAACTAAGGCAAACAGGGTTAAGGGTCAGACAGCCAGTAAGCAAATTGGAACTCGGGTCTTCCTGACTCTAGGCCCAGTGCTCTACCCACTCTGTCACCTAGCTGCCAGGATTACCTTTAGGCATCATTTTTGATATTTATTAAGTATCCTGAACAAGACAAAGTCATAACACTCAGGAAGATGGGCTCTTATCCACTGTGCCACCCGGCTGCCCTTTAAAAATATATTACCCTGTTCTATTTGATATTGTTTTATATAGTATCTTTGTTAAGGAGCCTGTTCTATAATTTTCTCTTTTATTGTCCGCCTTTACCTGTTTTAAAAATTAACACTTTATTTGCCTCATCAAAGGTATTGGGTAATGTCTTTATTCATCTAGGTAACATTGGGGTTATTTCTTCCTAGGAAGTTTAAAGAATTCTGCTGTGAATCTTTCGGGCCAGGTGTTTTTCTGTGGGTTCATTTTTTAATGAGTTGTCATGTTTCTTCCTCTGGAAAATTACACAACACAAAGGCAAGTTTCATCTTCCAGCTCAACACCTCCTGACATTCTGGGAATAAAAAGTAAAACTAATATGTAATAACCATTTTGGGTGGAAGACTTCATCGCACTGAAGGGCAGAGGTGGATTAAACCAGTGCTACCAAACAGCATTCTGTGACAAAGTTTTACCAGTCCACAAATACTTTGTTACCCAAGGTGCCTAGTTATTATACCCTATAAACTTGAAATATTTACCTGTTGATCCTTGCATTCTACTCTTCCCTAACCCTAGCCTTTTTCTTTTTTTCAGTTCCTTTCTCTGAATAGCTATCCTCAGGCTGCGGTGGTCAAACTACTTACCCATAGCAATAAAGAATTTCAGTATTTTATTGGTCTGTAGTATTATTTGAGTTGGGAAATTGGATGACCTCAAGGTCATGTTTTCTAACAGTGCTTACAATTTACTGGAATTCTTCAACATTTATACTCACATAGGAAGTGGACATTCTAGCAGCAGATCACAAAGCAGTATTATGACTTTGTCCTATTCAGCACCTAGTAAATCCAGGGTACTTAATAACTACTAAAAATGATGCCTAAAGCTAATCCTGGCAGCTAGCTGGTAGAGTCAATAAGAGCACCGGGGCCTGGAGTCAGGAAGACTCATCTTCCTGGGTTCAAATTTGGCCTCACACACTTACCAGTTTCTGACCCTGGACAAGTCATTTAACTTTATTTGCCTCAGTTCTCTCACCTGTAAAATGAACTGGAGAAGGAAATGGCAAACTACTCTAGTATCTTTGCCAAGAAAACCCCAAAAGGGGTCACAAAGGGTAGGGCATGACTGAACAACAACAAAGCTAATCATGTCATTTATTTGAGACAGAGACCTATAGGGTGTTTGGTTTTTTTTTTTTTTGGCTGTTAATGAACAGTCTCTATGTTGTCTAAGTCATATGACCTTGTAAGTAACTTCAAATGGGTAACATAAAAACTGTGGGACCCAATCCTAGTTATATCATTAACTTGCTTCCATGAACTCATACGGGGCACACACTCCTTTTCCTTAAATTTTCCTACAATCTTGATAGTGGAGTGTATGTCTCCAGTTATTTAAATGAAGAGTAAGGGATTTTGCATTCTTTAATCAATTAAGTGTTTATTAAAGTACCTCCATCCTAGGCATTATGCTTGGTTAATAAATAAAAAGCATTAAGGGATGCATGTGTCAAGCACTGACTCTGCCCTTAAGGAGCTTACATTCTAATAGGGGAATAGAACACATAAAAGAGAGTGGGGGTCAGGAGGGGGTAAATTTGGTCTGGAAATACACAGGGATGGGGAGTGGAGGGCACTGACATATCCCTTCAGGTATGTAGTGCTTATTTGATTATTGTTCCCAGAAATGGGTGGGGGCAGGGCAGGCACCTCAGGAAAATGGCAGCCGAGTGTGTTGGGTCCGGGCTGGCCTAGATATGGAGAGTCTTCATCAATCAGGAGTGCAAAGCCCCAGGTGAGGAACTTTCAGGTCAGTTGGGGTCAGAAGCAGAGGGTGGAGTGAAATGTTTCAAAATATTGAAGAACCAATGATGACAAATTCTTCTACCCGAAATGGATTTCTTTATTTAATCTAGAATCCGCTTAGGGGATACACAGATATGGAATTGCTCTGATCAGCAACAAGTATCTTTCCAGACCCTTTCATCTTGCTATATGAGAGCCAGTTCACTTTTTCCCCATGTTCAAGAGTCAGCTTTGGTAAGAAGTCAGTACATGTTGGTGGTTCATTCGTTTCTAAAATATTCTCCTTTTCTTTTGGTTTGGGATAGGTTGGTGTTTTAGGCTTTTTCCTATAGGTGAATTTTACAGGATTCCTCTGTTTTCTCTCCACTTTGCTGCTCACATCCCATAACTTTACCTTCCCATCATTTCCTCCACTGAGCATCAAATAGGAATCTGGAAGGAAGTGCACCTGTGAAACCCCCAGTGTGTGGCCCTTAAATCCTAGTTCCTGTTCACAGGTGACCCCCAACACTCTAAAAATTCGGATTTTACCATCTTCAGCACCACAACTAAAAATACGCCCACAAGATGCCACAGAGAGAGAGTGAGCTAGGGCAGGATTAGAGAGCTGACTGGATGCCTGTTCTGGTTCTCCTATCTTGACTGTTCCTTCTTCCTGTTCCTCTTCCTGTTCCTGTAAGTTTACCATCCAGAGTGGCCGAGCTTTCTGTAGGTTCCACAGCATTACCTTCAAATAAAAGTCAAAAGTCATGTATAGTAACAATTCACAAGGGGCTTTCCTCCCAACAACCCTAGGAGGTATGCAGTACAACTATTATCCTAATTTTGTGGGTGAGGAAATTAGCTCTAAGAAGTTCAATGACTGGTCTGTGAGGACAGACTTCCTGCCTTCATTATGTTAGGCTGCTGCCTGTCATTCTTCCTCACACAATAGACAGTTCTAGACATTTTGCTCAGCAATCAAACTCAGTAATTTAGTGTACTTAAATCAACATGCACATCTAACTAGAATTTGAGGATGCTAGCAGATCCCATGGAGATAAGAGAGAGGAGAGAGGGAGGGAGGGAGAGAAAGAAAAACACATACAGACAACAGAGCTCTGGGAGTGGCAGCACCCCCAGACTACTAGTCCTCACAGCCTATGGAAGCCACTCCTGTGGAGCAATGCTAGCCATCCCTACCAACTACCATTCAACTGCCACTCTCAGGACAGGCAAACCAGCCAAAGCTGAAGCAGCAAGACACCCTGAGGGATAGGAAGCAGTATGTACCAAGCAAGTCAAATCACTACCACCACCATCACCACCATGACCTGCATCTCCTCTTAGACCTGCAGGGAGGGTCGAGTACTCTGAAACCAAGAGCCCTGGGAACAGCAATGCTTCCAACCCAGTGCCCTCAGCCATTATCCTGGTAAGATGAAGTCTGGCAACTGCTCCTGTAGGTGCCTTAGCTACCGGAGACCCAGAAAAGAAAGTTCTTGCCATCAAAGTCCTTGGCACTGTCAAATGATTCCACATCAGAAATGGATATGACTTTATCAATGTAAATGACATTAAAAAAGAAGCATTACCATCTGCTCTGTTGCTGTCCCCAAGGACCAGGAGGCCTTTCCATTTGACTTCCAGCCTGAACCCTCCCCATGTGTCGTCTCTCCTAGTCATTAGAATGCGAGCTCCTTGAGAGCAGGGCCTGTCTTTCATTTATTTTTTGTGTCCCCAGTTCTTAGGGGCTTTGCACATAGTAATGCTTCATTCATTTGATCTAAGGATTAAAAAACCTGACCACTACTACGTAAGCCAGCGTGATGGCCCTCTGATGAGAACACTGGGATATTTAATGGATCCAATAGCTTATCAGCATGCATGCTTCCAGCATTAGTGTAGACTACCCTGTCCACAACTTTTTGTAAATCTTCCACAAATGATCCACACAATACACACGGGGCTTTCCTCTTTTAATAAGAATTTAGTTAAAACCCTTGTGGCAAATTATGTATAATGTTCCAAGGAGAGCATCTGAATGATTTCCAATTACTGCTCCCGGTAATGTTTTAGCCTCCCAAAGAATATTCTCAGGCAGCATTTCTTCAAAATTATTGTAATGGCATCACAGAAAGGTCTCTTAATCTTACCTTGGCACCTTTGCTATGGTCAGCTTCCATACTCTGTATGTATCTTGTATAAGCCCATTTATGTACACGTTGTTTACTCCTTTAGGATGTAAGATCCTTTAGGGCAGAGACTGTTTATTTTTTCATTACTTAGCATAGAGCCTGGCATATAATAAGTGCTTAATAAATACTTGATTGATCTCCAGGTAAAATCTGGCATTGTGTTCCTTACTAACATGGACACTAGGTTATGCTGGGAATAGACAATTATTCAAATAATCATGGTCTTGGACAATCTTGTTGTAGTTTGTTTTTTCTAGCCTAGTCTTTTACAGGCTGTTTATTTCCTAGTCACCTAACCTTCTCCCTTTGTTTTTCCCTCAGTCTGACAATTTCTACACTTGGACCAATCTGGGCTGGATAGATCTAGTTTCCTACTTGGTTGGCAATTTCTTGACTGTGACCTCAGTAGAAGAAAACACCTGAGCAGGACCCTTTTCCTCAATAAAAACCCTTGAGGGGCTCTGATCTGGGAGTTGTCATGACTCAGAGCTGATTCGATCAGCCATGACACCCAACCTGACCTAGAAGCTTCCCAAAATCATGGACTGAGAGTTTTAGGACACTGTCAATTCCTTCTTACTGCTATAGTCTGAAGACCAATGCGCCTGGGACTTCCTGATGCTATCTCTGGTTGGGTCTCCCTGCTTTTTCCCAAGCTGACTTTATAAATGTTAAACTAAAATCTAGAAAATCGATTTAAGCCCATTTAAAAATAAAGTTACTAAGCTTCTGGCAAGAATTTTGCATTTGAATAATTTATTTTCTCTCCTCTGTCTAAAAGTGAAAACATATCAAGATTTTTTTCCCCTCCTCAAACAGGGTGAAGTACTGTTAAAATTTGATTCTAAAAATTTAATATTTTCTGTGAATTACACTGGACACCTAGACATACATGCCTTTGCTTTCTGAGTCAAAAGTGAACCACTGGATAAATCGGTTTGATGTTATTAGCAATGTGATTTTATAATTCAAAAGGTCTTTCACCACATCAAGGCCATTTTCATAAACATTCTCAAAAGAGTCATGACATCTAGTAGCTACCAAATGTGTCTCCTAAACTTCTGTTTCTGCTTGCAAGGCATTATTCTGAAAACTCACTTAGGTGGAGACTCCTACATTTTATAAATAGCAGGCAATCATAAAGCAAAAACACATTGAGATCAAAGAAATATCAAGGAATCTAAAATAAGAGATTAAACACCGAAACTAAACAAGGTTAAAGTAATTAAGAAGTAAAAGGAAATTCTGAAACTAAACTGCTGAAAAGCATTTGGATATGACCAAGATCTTTTCAATACTACCCAGGTTCCTACATTATTTTTTATATTTGCTTCCCCAATGTCCAGACTACTTCTTCCCCTTATCAGACACTTTGTACTCACAAAGCATTTTCAACTGCTTAATCAAATTCATGCTTCTCTCAAATCACTCAAATGTGTTCTCAGGTGTCTCAGATACCTTCAACAATAGTTGGCTTGAAACCCAAGTTGTTACCAATTATTCTGGATTCTCAAACCATTCCTGCCTTACCTGAACACTCCTTTCTTTCTCTGCCACATTCTTTAACAGCCCCCAAATGTTGAAAAGCTGGCACCTTCAAATTCCTGAGCAAACCACACGGCCATATTTGTCAGTATCTGAAACTGGGACATGGGACTTTTTTTGGGAGGGGGACTGAAAACAGGGAGACAGAGCACAAAAAAAGAGCATCTTTGGTAAAGGTGAAAACAATTTATGGAGTTTTAGAGCTGGGGCAGGTAGATACAAAGGGAAGTAGAAATGACAAACGAGCAGACTGGGTACTTAAGAAAGGTAGATTTCTGAATAAGACCTTTGGCAGATCAGGCAGGTTAGTACCTTTCCCAAGTAGGCTGCTAAGTTGTTAACACCTCTTGTGATGTGAAGTTTGCCTAGAGTAGGGAAGGAACATAAGATATGTTCTCCATCCCACCTCCCTACCCCCCCAAAAAAAAATCTACTTCCCCTACATATTTTATCATTCAGAGATTCATTTCAGTTAACCATGTCCCCTTTTAAAGTATAAACACTTTCTGCAAAGGATAAGCCTCTCTGATACCAGCTCTACCATAAGAATCACTGAGTAAAAAATTCTCTCTCACCCATGTCTGCTCTATGAGGTTATCTTTTCTTTTTTTCCAGACATATCCTCTTTTATAATAAGGGTTTATACAAGTAAGAGAGAAGAAAAACATTCAAAATTTCAGTTATAGAGCTATTTGGTATTTCCAAACTTTCAAGGACTTTAATAAATCTCACTTTGGTCTTAAAATCTCCCTGCCCTTTTCAGTGAATTCTTAGTACATCTCTCGGGCAATGCAAATCAAAAGCTATGTATAGTTATACCTTGTTATAATTTCTTTTTGATAAGAGACAAAGATGTATAAATTTGCAAAAATACTGTTGGTGCCATTAGTTAAAGACTCTCAGGAAAGAAAAATGCAGAAATCTATCTGGTAAGAATTTCCTGCCACTTATCATTTTTATCTAACTTTCAGAAATCTTTCCTGAAGACAAGGCATTTTGTTAATTTAGTCTGCTTGGGAATTACGTGATTTCTATATCTCACCGTACAAGACATACTTTTTTGCCCAATTGTCTGGCCTTTCAGACACTGACTTGGTCAACTCATGGCTTGAATGAAAACTTCAGGAGAGTATCTTTTGGCAGTTCAACCATATAAATTCCTAAATAGAGAGATACTAAACATATCTTTTAGCTGCATGGCCTATATTCTAGCTATTATCAGCTCTATACTATGTCTAGTGGCAGAGCACTAAGCAACTGGAGAAAGCTCAGTAGGTACAGCAGAGGTAAAGAGTTTAAGGTTACAATGGTGCCAACGTGATAAAACGTGTACAGGGTTTCGCAAATTTTAAAAGCACTTTATTATTGTTAGGAGTTATTAGTTATCATCTATCTAAAATGAGGACGGATAGTCCAGAATGGCTGGGAGAAACTAGTAGAGAGAGGTTAAAAAGAATTGCCAGTACCCAAGCTTTACTGTGGTATCTGCTTATGTAAATACCTAGCTTTGGTAGTATAGGAAGTCCTTCTGCATGAGCATATAGGCATTTTTTTCACCAATAGCAATGGACAAAGTATGACATTCATAAAGGTCTTGAATAAAACTCAAAGGGTTTAAAGGTAATCACAGGGATAAGAGACCACCATAAAAACCACCAGAATCAGAGTTGAAGGGACTTAATTCACAGAATTAAGAGTCAGAAGGAACCTTAGAGGTCATCTAGTCTAGTGGTGTCAAACTCAAATAGAAAAGAATTCCTGCAGGCTGAATATTGACTTAGAAGACCACAAATTAATACTGTCTATATTGTATTGAATTTTTATTTAAGTTGTTAAGTGTTTCCCAATTACATTTTAACCTAGTTAGGCACGGGCCTCGAGTTTTGACACCTCTGATCTAGTCCAATCTCCCACCCTGTCTGAAAGTCTCTTCTAGGGAATCCCTGATAAACTGGGTAGTCAAGCCTTTAAAACATCTCCAGGGGTGGGCATCACACAACTGTCCATTACATAGCTAGAGCAGTCAAGGTTCTTTCTTTACTGAATTAAAATCTACCTCCTTGTGACTTTCATCTATTGTTGCTACTACAGGAGCATCAGGAAATAGGTACATCCTTTTGTGTGACAGTTTTTCAAATATTTGAAGATAATCATCATATCTCCCTTAGTCACCTCTTCTCCAGGTTCATCATCTCCAATTTTTTGCATGAGATTATTTTTTAACTCTCAATATTCTGGTTATCCTTCTCTAGTTGTACTTTAGTTTTTCAGTGTAATTCTTAAAAAGTGGTGCCCAGGACCAAACACGATACTCTAGCTGTACACTAACAGATTACAGTGGAATTATCACTTTTCATAATTCTATAGTGAAACATGGGGCTAGAAATAAGTGATTCAGCCCACTTCTAGCTCCTGGTTCCTTGGGTTATAAGGTAATTCTGTTTTCAGTCCTCTTTCCCACTGGCACAAAGTCAAATAATTAAATCCTTACATCTGAGGGACGATTCTTTACCAGTGTAATGACAAAGAGGGAAAGTCCACAGTTCATAAATAGGTAAGGAAAGTTGAAGTAGGGTAGAACAGAAAGATCTTTAGCTCAAATCAATAATTTGACATGGTAATAACTTGTTTAGCAATTACCCATGTACTGATTTGCAAAAATCACCTGCATGTCTAGTCCACATGAAAATAGGCTCTGAGGTCTGTGAGGCCGAAAAGCAACAGAAGAACAGATGTTTGAATGTTTCCTCAGGGATCGGCTAACTCGTTTGTTGACCAAGTCTAAGATTTTGATTGTTCCAGAGTCATCTGCAGAAGCTAGGAGGTTTTCTGTTTCATTCAATGAAAGACAATTGATTTCCTCTTCATTCACATGGAAATCCTCAGTTGAACCTGTGAAGGATCTGACATCCAGAATGCTAATAATTTCACCATGTGATACATACAGTTTGTTAGGACAGGTAGGAGAAAATCTGACACAGGTAACATCATTAAACCCTTGGAATTCTATCTGTCCTACTTGATTCCCTTCTGGGCTCCAAATGATGATGTCACCTTCCTCTCCTCCTGAAGCCACCAGCCCTTCTTTATTTGCATCCAAGCAGAGAACAGAAGAATAATGTCCACCAGTCCATTTGACTGCCATGATAGTTCAGAAGAGTCTATGAAGTAAAAAAATAGAAATCTAACATTTTCTTTTAAGAACTTAATTGTAGTAGACAAATACAACATTGTAGTATCTAATTCAAATGTTAAAAAAGGCAGAAAATAGTTTAAAAAGCCAAACTTAAAATGCAACAAATATAATCAGATGAAATTTGAGACAGAAGCATCTGAATAAGTTGAAGAAAAACCAATTCATTTATACTTCTTTACTTTTGTACTGTGCTTTATGCTTTTCAAAATGTTTTTACATAGATTACCTCATCTGTTATATGGCTAAACAGCACTGGATTGGAAGTCAGAGAGTTACAAATCTGGCTCTGCCACTTATTACCTATGTACTTTTGGGCTCTCTATGCCTCAGTTTCTTCAGGTTCCTTCCAACTCTAAAAGCAATGATATTAAGTGACAGAGCCAGGATTAGAATACAGGTCTCCTTTTTACTTTACCATGTTACTTTGCCTAAATGATATTGTTTAATGTTCTGCAGAGCTCCCAAAAGTTCAAATTTTTTTTTTTTTGCTTTTTGGTGAGGCATTCAAGTTAAGTGACTTGCCCAGGGTCACACAGCTAGTAAGTGTCAAGTGTCTGAGGCTGGAGCTCTATCCATTGTGCCACCTATTTGCCCCAAGTGTAACTTTTTAGGGTGTGTTGGTTGCCTAGACTTGATCTTATAAGTAAGCAAGTCAATTAGGATCAGGGCCCAAGTGACCCCCCTCTAGTGTAGCTTGGATAGGGTAATATTACACTGCCAAAGTTATTCTTGCTTTAAGGTAAACACATATGAATTTAATCTAGTGTCAGAACTGAATACCTAACGTTGTTTTGTAAACTTAATAAAAAGATCTAGCAGCTGACCAAAGTTTCTTTTTTGGTCTCAGATTTTGGTATGTGAAAACAAAAGATGAACTAAAATTTATGAACCTGGAAGCAATCAGAACAGGATGATTTTAGAATCATAAGATGTTAGATCTGGAAGGGCCCTAATCAGAGCAGTACAATGGGAAGATTTACTCAGTTGGTGGAATAAAGAATAAATTGGAAAGAGGAAAATCAGGGAGTTTATTACAAAACTCTAGTTGAGAAGAGATGAGGGCCTGATTAACAGTTGTTATAATAGAAGCTGAAAGGAGGGTACAGCCGTGAAATACATTGTAGAGGTAGAAATAACAGGACTTATCAACTAACTGAATGTGTGAGAATGCTGCATGTTAAATTATCAAAGCAAGCTTAAAGTAACAACCCCAGTTCTTTTCTAGATAATCGAATGAAGCAATTTTTACAAAGCCAACAAAGTTAAAAAAAAAAGAGCAGCAAAACAGCAAATTACTATTGGAGGAGACACTGACTAACTAGCGATTGAAGCAAATAAAATCAAAGAGAACCCAGGAAATAAAATGACTTAGAGGGAAAAAACAAAGAATTCCAGTGCTTTGATTTTTTGTGCCAAATATTCAAAGAGAGGCATAGCTAAGAAATCTTCTGCCAAGAACCATAGAAACTGCCCAAATAAATACTTTCAGTAGTTAATCGAAGTTCTTTTTCAGATCTTTTCCTTAGTATAGACTATACCACCATAAGATTAAGTCAATTTTTTTTCTAGGTATAATTTTGCAAGCATCACCAAAAAATTCATTCAAGTTATACTTCTGTCTACACTCAGAAATGAGAAGTTGCATGGCATCATGGCTAGAATAACAAATGGACTTGGAGTCAAGAGACCTTGTTTCATTTTCTACCTCAGACACTTACTAGCTATGTGATCATAGGCAAGTCACCGAACATCTCAGAGCCTCAGTTTCTTCATCTGTAAAAAGGGGATAATATAACAAAGAGTTGTGGGGAACACACTTGCAAATCTTAAGTACTTTATAAAAGTGAGTTGTTATTGCTATAAATCTCGAAGACCATTAAAAACAGCAGCCACTTTCACCCTGCTCTGATAATTTTTGTTGTTGTTCAGTGTTTAGGTTGTCTGACTCCTTGTGACCCCATTTGGGGTTTTCTTGGCAAAGATATTGGAGTGGTTTGCCATTTCCTCCTCCAGCTTATTTTACAGATGAAGGAACTGAGGCAGACAGGGTTAAGTGACTTACCCAGGGTCACAGTGATAGTGTCTGAAGTCAGATTTGAACTCAGGAAGACTTCCACTGTTCGACCTAGCTGCCCACTTTGATAATTTAGCCTTTATACTTCAGTGGTCTGCTTGCACTTATTCATGTACGTTGACTAGGTTGCCTGTGCAGATCCTATACCCCCAATTAGATTTTAAATTCATCTAGAGTATGGATAGATCTTTTATCAGTGTTTCACAAACAATGTACTTAAGAAATGTTTGCTAAATATAATTCCAGTTCTTTTGCATCTCCCTCATAGTGGGCTTGAGTAATGCTGACCGGATGACAAAGAATGTTAGTAATTTATTTTATAAGTGAGGAAATGGATAACCAGAGGTTATAGGATTTGCTTAAGGTCACAAAGGCATGATGCAGAGAAGAGAGTGCTGTATCTAGACTCAGAGCATATGGGTCCAAATCCTGGCTTTTCTACATGTTCCCTGAATGACCTTGAGCAAGGCCTTTTTTCATAAGTTTCCTCATTTATCAAATGAGTAAGTAGGTCTAAATCCCTTCCAAGGTCCTTTCCAGCTCCATGTCTATGGAGAGTGTTGTACTTGAGGAGTTAGGAATATCTGGCTTTAAATTCTGTTTGACACCTAATAGTTGTGACCCTCAGACGGATACCTCTGAGCCTCAGTTTCATCTATAAAACGAATACAACAGGATTGGTATGAGGATCAAACCAGGTAACATATATAAAGGGTTTACAAACATTAAACCGATATCAATGTGAACTATTATTATACTATTAAACAGGATTTGGTCCTAGGTCTTCTGATGCCAAATCCAGCACACTTTCTGTAGAGGGCCGATCTTAAGAGTCTGATATGGGTTTAAAATCCAGGACAGAGTTTGACCTCTGCCCAGGCTTTTACCCAAAGGGCTCAATAATTAAGAAGCACGGCTCTCCAATCTCTCCCTGTTAGGAGGTTCCTGAGACATTCCTTCTCACTCTTTGAACCTTAAATTTACATATTCACTCCTCTATACAGGCGCCAGGAAAAAGCCTTAGAATTTACAACTCTATCTAGGAACTCTGATAAGGAGGAAATGTATGTTATCACATCCTTAGCAGATGTTTTGGGAGTGTCTCACGGGGAGAACTCTTTGAAGTTAGGATGGATTTTCTCTATATATCCTATACCCTCAGAAAAATAAACTGAGTCACTTCTTCTGCTTCGCCTGGTCCACTTCTTCATGTCTTATTTCACGCCTTTCTGTTCGGTGTACTATCTGGTTGTGGGCAACAAATAGCGCGTCGAACAGTGACAAAGAGTCTGAGAAACGGGGTTCCCTTAGACGCTCCGGCGGAAAAAAAACCCTTGCTGGCTACTACGCCAGGAAACAAGGTCCTTAAGTGGCTGGACGCTGTGGTACTAAGGTAAAGGGAACGAGGGTCATTACAGATTTCTCCTTAGAAATTCTAGGGCTAAGAGGGGGAAAAAATCACCAGGCTTACGTGGGAGATTATAAATTACAAGAAATTGATTAGAAACAGGCTGGGTACTTAGAGCATAAGAAATAGTGTCGCTTTGGAAAGGCCCACATACATACTTTCAGTCTTAAGAGGTGACCTTAAGATCAAAAGTATGGGTCAAGTACAAAGTGGAAAAAGAGATAATTACCTAAGATTACTAAAGAAAATAGTGAAAGAAAGAGGCTTAGTTATTCCAAACAGTCAGCTACAGGAATTTTTAGAAAGTATAGAAAAATGCTGCCCATGGTTTCCACAAGAAGGAACAACTGCTTTAGAGAAATGGGAGATTGTAGGCAAGCAACTAATAGTAGCAGAGAAAGTGATTCGGGCAGATAAGGGGCAGGAACAGATGAGGAAGAAGAAATGCATAAGGCCTTTGGGGAACAGTTGAGCACAGCTGAAGAGGACCTGTAAGATGTGCATTCTGTTAAACAACAGAGAGATGTGCATTTCCCTGAGCAACAGAAAGATGTGTATTTACCTTCAGTTAAACAACAGCCTGGCAGAAAATTTAAATGCAAGGGCTTGTTAGAAAAGGTGATACAAAGGGCAGAAAGCAGAGAGGAAGAAGTGCCCATGGACTTAAAATTAGCTAGGCAAATAAGTTTAAGCATGTAGGAGAGAGGAGTATGTACAGCAAGCTTAAGGGAGGTATGATTTATTTGCACAGTGTGATTAGAGGTTTTGAAAGTAAAAAGGCTTTGAAACTTTTTGAGAATTGTTAGGAAAAAATTCTCTTTCTTTTTCGCATTCTAAAGCCCTGGCCAAAGCTTTGGGTGTAAAACTGAAAGATTATCAAAGATAAGTTGTTGGAAAATATTCTCTTCCTTTCTCTCCATTCCAACCCTGGCCAAGTTGGGGTGCGAGAGACATAATGAGAATAGTTCTTTATGTATTTGGAACACAATCAAAAGATAATTTAGCTCATTCAAATTAGTAATATGCTTGTTTCAAATTTTAAAAATCTAGTATTGTTACAAATTGGTAAACTTTTGTATTGTTTTGTGTTATATCAAACAATTTTCAATAATCTAGATGTTATTAAAATGTGAATTAAAAAAGACTGAAAGACAGTGGGAATGCTGTAAAAGCCAGCTAAATTATTTTATCAAGTCCGGTTAATCTTGCTTTGTAATGTTTTATAACTGTCAATTAGAAAGTCAGGTATTTCCATCTTTACCTGTAATTAAAGAACAGCTGATTGTTAAAATAATTTGACTATCACTTATGAAAATTACCAGATTGTTAATTAAGTTATTTGAAGTTACTGTTTTAATGTTAAAACCTAGAATTTTTAATTACTTATGAGTGAAAAGGAGGGGCACAAGGCAATTCCCTCTACTCTGTAAATTTGCCAGGGCTCCTGGAAACCATCTGTTGTGGGCAAGGTCATCTGCCCTGA